TCTGTATGAAGCACATCTTGGAACTGGAGAGGTGGTTCAGTGGTTAAGAGTACTTAATGCTCTTTCAGAGGACCTGGGTTCGATTTCCAGCACGCACATGGCAGCTAACAACTGTCAGTAAATCCAATTCCAGGGGATCTGACATCCTCTACTGACTTCTTTCGGCATTGCCTGACATAGGTGTACTTAAACACATGCAGGCAATGCACTCATACAGATAAAAAAATAAATAAAATATATTAAACAAGAAGCACAACTTATTGGCAAAGGCACAAGACTCAGGCTGAAAATAAATGGGTAAGATTCAACAGAACAATTAAATTAAGCAAATATAGATAGAATTTTTGTAATCGTGTGTTATATTGTAGACTTCTAAAAAAAAGAATCAGAAGACATGAAGAGGATGTAGGGGTTACTACATATTGCTAGAGGGAGCAATGCTTCAGGTACACTTAATAACTGTAAAGGCACATATGTACACGACATTGGAGCACGCAATATTATGTAAGGAACATGACTGGATGTAGACATACAGGCAAGTCTAGATATAGTAATAATGGGTGAAATAAATATCTCAATACTGTCAAAAGATCATTCATCACGCAAGAAAGTCAATAAAGAAACTTCAGAGATAAACTGCAGCATTAATCCAATGAAGTTAGCAGTCATCTACAGAGTATTCTGTGCAGCATCTCTGAGAATCGAGACTCTGGTTTTCTTTGCTAAGCGGGGAACCTTGCTTCAGGGACAGAGAGAATGGATTGGAAACAGATTAAGGACTCTGGTCTGGGACTTGTGCTTTCTTTCACAACAAGCCATTTGTTACAAAATTCAGAGGGTTTTTATACATTACAAGGAACCAGCACTCATATGGGGTTTGGCAGTTATATACAAAGATTTAGGGCACGAAGAAACAGGACATATGGCCTTTTAGTTGGCCCCAGCAGGATGCTTAAATTTTACTCAAGGTTACCAATGCCTATCTGGTAATTTATTGGCCACAACGTTTAAGATAATCTCACCCTAGGGCATGCCATCCTGGTTTCCTAGATCTGAAGTACAAATTCTTCTTGCTACTCTGTAGGACTTTCTATAAAGTGGATAGTGTAAGACCTCAGTAAGCCTTACAAAAGAAAGCAAGTATTTCCCTTATAATGTCAGATAATGGAAAAATAGGAAAGCAGAGGAAAGCACAGATATTATACAAATACACAGAGATTGAACAGAACACTCTTGAGTGTACGTTATACAAAAAAATCAGAAATAAAATTTAAAAATTGCTCGATTCAGCTGAAAATAAAACTGCAAATTATTAGAACCCACAGAATGAATACAAGAAATGCAATGCCAAGAGGAATGTTCATTGCTATAAGTGCTTATAGCTTAATTGTCAGAGAAATCTGTAATAAATAACTAAATGAAGCACTTTAAGGATTTAGAAAATAAAAAAAACTATCCCAAACCTATAACAGTAGGTGGGGGAAGATGATATGGGACAGGGAAAAAAATGACTGAAATAAAGACTAAGAAAGCAATACAAAGAATTAATGGAACAAAGAGTTGGTTCTTTGTAAAGTTAAAAATAAATTAAAACTTGGCCAAAATTTCCAAAACAAAGTAAAATATCAAAAATAACAGTAGAGTTTTAAAGGAGGTCATTATATTAGAAACCAATAAAATTTATAAGACCATATGGAATTCTATGCAAATAGATACAAAAGTCAGAAAATCTAAAAGTGAATAAATAGACACAAATGTCATATCAAAATCAGTCAAGAAAATTGAACAACTTAAACAAATCTACAAGTAGCAATGGAACTGAAGCAAGTATAGGAATTCTCACAAATAAAAAGAGCCCAGTAATAAAAAGATGGATTTACTGCCAGATGCAACCAGACATTATAAGAACAAATGAAAATGTTATCCAAATGTTTCTTTAAATAGAGAGAATGCACACAAACAGGCAGCCTGTGGACCAATTAAACTTACACACTTAGATATAAAAATCCTTCATTAAATACACGCAAGTTGAATTAACACATTAATAGGAGTCTTAAGCATGCTCAATATGGTTTTGTTCCCTGGATATACAAAGAATTCACCATACAAAGATAAATAAATACAGTAAAGCTCATAAATATACTCAGGGACAAAATATTCTAATGATAGGTGCATATAAAGAGTCTTTGAAAAAATAAGCCATCCTTTCATAATAAAAGCTTTGAAGAAAATATAAAGTGTGTAAGGAGGGAGGAGGTGCTGCTGGGTTTTAGCGATAAGTCCCAACTCTGTGTCACCATCTGAGGCTTTACAGTCCTAGATGGCTCTCGTATCATGTCTGTTCCTTAGCTTCCAGAGCACTATGCTGAGAATGGAGGGAACATCCTGGAAGCCTTAGCTCATTGAGTCCAGAGTAGGGTAGCAGAGGGGTGTGTGTTGTGTGTGTGTGTGTGTGTGTGTGTGTGTGTGTGTGTGTGTGTGTATGTGGCCACAGCTGTTGTGTGTTTGTGATTGCAATGGTCATGACATGTCCAAAAGACCATGCTTCATAGCACCGCTCTCCATCCTTCAGCACTTACAATCCTTCTGCCTTCTTCCCCATGGTGCTCTCTAGGCCTTGGCAGGGGTGATATAGATGTCTCATTTGAGATTAAGCAGTCAACAGAAACTCTTTCCATTCCTTCAATGCACTGCTTGAAATCTTACCTAGAGCAATAAGATCAAAGGAAAGAAGGAAGTAGGGAAGAAGGGAGGGAGGGAGGGAAAGGAAGAAGAGGGGGGGAGGGAGAGAGTGGAGGGAGAGAGGGAATTCAAAGAGGAAAGGAAAAAGCCAAAATTATGTCTATTTACAAGTGACATGATCCTATACTTAAAAGACAGGAAATACATCAGAAAACCCATAGATGTGACAGACTTCAACAAATTAGTAGGGCACAAAACAAATATATAAAAATCATTAACTTCTCTTTGTGATAATAATTAAAATGCTAAGAAGGAAATCAGGAAAACACTCATTCACAGTAGTCTCATAAATACCTAGGAATAAATCCAGCAAAAAGATGGTTTGCTATTACCATTTCACTTTTGGAAACTAATGAATGTGGTGTAAAAAAAAGCATAAATTAATGTTTTGAAGCCTTTCGATACCCTTAAATTTTGTATCGTTGGTGTAGGACCTGCATAAGGAAGAGCTGTATGTAAACTGGTGATGGCTTCCTTACGCAATAGAGTGCTGTGCACACAGAAGGCTACAACTGGACACGTTTTAGAGACTAAGAGACTACAGAGTGTGTGTCCATGGATAAGACTCCTATATTATATCTCTTCCCCCCATGGCTCCAGGACCATTTTGGAAAAGTGGGCAGAAAGATTGTAAGAGCCAGGGTTGGTCCATGTACATAGGCAAATAGAGACTTTCAAGTCACTGGGAGCTTGTTCACTTGAACCTGTAGCAATGATTGCCTTTAGCACATAACCCATGACAACTCAATTAGATAAGGTCCCAAAGTGTAGGGAGGGAAATGGGCAGCTAGCTGGCTAACCTGGGAGCTTTGGGAGACTGATTACTGTGGGATGATAGGAGAGTAGACCTTCCTTAAGATTGCTAGATAGGCTGACTAGACTCTAGTGGATGAACTTTCATCAAAGGACATCTGGGTAAAAGTTCTTGACTTTAGAGGACTTAACATGTGTGGTGGAGTGCATCAGGCCCTTTGGGAGTGTAGGGGGTCATAAATGGGAGAGGAAGTCTAGTTTGATTAAGAGCTGTGGTATGACATATACAAAATCTCAATAAAAATATTTAAAATATATTCTCCCAGCTCCCCTCCTAGCCTGGGTACAGGCCCATTTCTTGTCTTGGAACCACAAACTCCTGGGCTGACATCTAGGACCACAATCCCCACTGTTTCAAGATCTTTTGCAACCAGACCAACGCAATCCCTCCCTGAAGTCCCCAGGAGCCCTCTGGGCCTCATCCCACCATCACCTCCCTTTGTTTCCCTTGGCTGTACAGCCCCTGGCGTCCTGGTGCAAGCACCTTTCCTGGGTAAGTCCAGCAGCGCCCACTATGCCTTGACTCCCGCAGCCTCATTCACTCTCCCAGCTCCCCTGGGAGCTGACCTGGGTACTCACACATTTCTTTTCTTCGCACCCCAAGCACCTGGGCTGACCTTTCGGCCCAGAGTCCCCACTGCTTCCTGATCCTTTGCATTCATACCAACCCAGATCCTCCCTGCCCCAGCCTCATTCACCCTTACAGCTCCCCTGTCCCTGTCTCTCCTCCTAGTCTGGAAACTGGCCCCCTTGACTGACTTCTTGGCCCAGAATCCCCACTGCTTCCTGATCCTTTCCATGCAGACAAACACAGTTCCTCCATGCAGTCCCTAGGAGCCCTCTGGGTCCAGTCCTGGTTCCACATACCTTTGTTTCCCTGGGCAGCTCAGCCACCAGCTTCCTGGTGCTAGCATCCATCCTGGGCCCTGCTCCCAGGCCAGTCCAGCCCCTAAATTCCTGAAGGCAGCTTCTTTCCTGGAGGGATCCAGACTTTAGGAGAAGGCCTGAGAGCATCTGATCCTCATCTGAGTTGGGCCTCTGTGTGAACTCCTGAAGACAAAAGCAATTTGGCAACTCCAATAAGAAGTCAAAAGAGAGAACTTGACACCTAGACAAACCAGCTTTTCATGCCCAACAAGTAAACCACAAAGGCACATAAAGTTTACAAAAAGAAGTATACCTAAACTCAACAAATGAAGCCTACAGTCTCACACAAGAATCAGAAACTACAAAAGAAATTCACATGCAGTCACAGAGTAAAAATTATTACATGAAAAACCAAAATAATATAGCCCCACCAAGTACCAACAGTCCTCTAGAAGACTACAGTGAGAACCCTGTAGAGATAATGCAGGACATGGGACTCAGAAGAACAATTGTTTTTATATTAAAAATATTTTATTAATTCTTTGAGAGTTTCATGCAATGTAATTTGATCATATTCCACTTTTCCCCCAAGTCCCCCCAAATCCATCCCTACCTCCCTCCTTACTCAACACTGTGTTCTTTTTTCTAACCTCCATTGAGTCCAATTTGTGTTCCCCAAATACCCTTGAGTGTGGAAGCTGCTCCGGAATGTAGTCCATCTACCGGTTGGTCACATCATTAAAGAAAACAGAATCTTCCTCTCCCAGCAAATATCGGATGCCCATAGCTCCTTGGCTGGGGGGGGAGGGCTTTAATCCCACTCCCCTGTTTCACACTGGGACCTTGTCTGGCTGGAGTTGGAGCATGTCTTTGTGCTGCTGTCGCAATCGAGTTCAAATCCCCGCTGTCTGGAAAATGGCTTCCTCGTAGTCGTCCACCACCTTTGGCTTTTCCTTTTGTAGATTTAAAATATATGTTGTGATAGACTGACACTGCCCATAGTATTTTGAAAAGTAAAATTTTGGGGGCTGGATAGATATCTCAGCAGTTAAGGGCAGTGACTACGCTTGCAGAGGACCCAGGTTCGGCATGGCAGCTAACAACCATTTGTAACTCCTATTCCAGGGAACCTGATGCCTTCTGACCTCTGCAAGCATTGAACTGCTAAAGTGTACTTACATACATGTAGGCAATACAGTCATACACATAAAATAAAAATAATACGTAAAATATTTTTAAAGAAGAAAAGTAAAATTTTCATTTGGTTGAAAGGATTATTGACATCTAAGTATTAGACACCTGTAATTTCTGCTTATTGCTATAATATACCATCTCATATACTTTACTATAGACAAAGAAATAACTTGTCCTTCAGGGACTACAACATAGCGATGAGGGAGAGCACCTGCAAGTTGTCAGTTGAAAGGAACAGTCAGTGCTGCAGACACTTAGACAGGAAAGATGACATTGAAGAGAAAGCATCCTACACAGCTTGGTGAGGGGATGTGGTGATTGGCTCTCCCTTAAAAGGTAGAGAAGACCTTAAAAGGAAGGTTCTGCTAGGCTGGGTATGGGAGGCAGAAAGAAAAGGAAGGCTTTGTGGAGCCAAACTGCACAGAGCACAAGCCAAAGAGTGGATGGGACAAAGAGATGTTGATGTAAGTAGTGAAAGAAGATAAGTAAGATGCGTGTGAGGACAGAACAGAGGGAGAAATGGGAGGGTTGTAACTTTTAACAGCCGTATACGCTAAGGAAATTCAGATCTGATTTTGAATGAAAGCTATTCAATACAGCACTGACCTTCAAAAAGAGATGTTTTAGGAAGAGTAGCAGTA